CCAGAGTGGGGAGGGACCCAGCAACTCAGGGGAAATGAATTACATCGTGGAAATGGCAGTGCTTGACTTGGTCAAGACCCAGGAGATCTGATGGAACAAGACAAAGGTGAAAACTAGAAGCCAAGCACCCAGGGGAGAGACAGAGAGAGAGAGAGAGAGAGAGAGAGAGAGAGAGAAGGCTGGATAACCCCCCTTGATGTCTGCCACCAACACAGCTCCACTCACATGGCAGACACTGCACCCTTTGTTTTGTTGTCTGGCACCTGAATCAACTTTAAAGGACTCATCTTTTAAGGGGGAGGAGAGAGGGCACAGCAGCACTTCCACACCCAGACTGTCTTTTTCCTTCTACACTCACATGCAAAAGAGGTGCCTGTTCACCAAATTCACTTCCCATCAGCAGGGCCTACAGAAATGCGATCCAGGGGAACAACCATCTGAAAAGTCAATAAATGGACCAGCTTCATGGCTGCAGACAAGCCTCCATTCCCTCCCTCACTCATTCATTCATTCATCTGTTCATTCTACAGATTTTTGTTGAGCACTCACTCTAAGCCAGGCATGTGCTAGGTACCTGGGATAAAATGCCAACTCAGAAAGAGGAAGACCCTGCCTTACGATGTTTTTAATATTAAGATCCAGGCAGGGGGCCGCAGAATAAGTATTAAAGTTAGACATGATTTCAGAGATAAAATGGGTTTTAGGGTCTATTTCAATAGCTTCTAAAGAATAAGGCATGCAGCTAATAAGCAGCGAGCTGGATTCAAGCTGGGTCCCACACTCCACACTGTTCATCACCACTGTCTCCTGACAAATAAACCCAACACACACTAACTAGAGTAAGATCCTTTGAGAGTTGGAGACCTATCTGCACAATGAACAATATTTTGTCATATTCAGTCTTCATTTCTTTGTATTTTATTCTTTTAAAAACAAATGGGTTTGACTCACGGATTTTCTCAAAGAGGGCACACAACAGTCCATGGGAGTCGGAACAAACATGTGACCAGGTGAAGCTGGTGACACTTGGTTCAACATAGGTTGACGCCACCATCATTTTCTGTATAAGGAGAGAACTACAAATCTACATTCAATGGCCTAAACCAACAATTAGGTTTGTGTACGTGAAAACTCAACCTGTATCCTTTAACTATTTCCTAAGTTGAACTGTCAATGACTGATCACAGCTTTAAAATCAGGACACTTAAGTAGCTGGTTGAGTGACTGGATAAGCCACCAATCAGGAAAATTGAATTAGTTAAGAGGAAAAAAGGCCAGGCTTGGTTCAGCCTATAATCCCAGCACTTTGAGAGGCTGAGGCAAGTGGCTTGCTTGAGCCCCCACGTTCGAGACTAGTCTGGACAACTCGGTGAGAGCACGTCTCTACAATAAATAAAAAAAATTAGCCGGACATGGTGACACATGCCTCTAGTTCCAGCTACTTGGAAGACTGAGGTGGAAGGATCACCTGAGCCTAGCAGATTGAAGTTATGGTGGCTGTGAGCATGCCACTGCACTCCAGCCTGGGAGACAGAGTGAGACTCCAACGAAGGAGGAGGAGGAGGAGGAAGAAGAGGAGGAGGAGGAGGAGAAGAAGGAGAAGAAGAAGAAGAAGAAGAAGAGTATGACTTGTAGAACTGACTGGTGCCTTAGAGGTTCTCTGATTCAACCTTTTCCACTTAGCCTAAAGACACACACACACACACACACACACACACACACACACACACACACACACACCACTAAGGCCCAAAAAAGGCAAGTGATAAAATCTGTCCAGGACTGGAATCCGTCTTTCTTGACATCATAATGTTCAAGGGTGACAAGCTGCAGTGATACATCTCCCATCTCTTTTCTCGCCTTCCCATTTCTTCTGGCAGCAAGGGCTACATCTCTGCAAACTCTTGCCCCTAACAGGTATCTTCCCTCCTGGCTTATCCTAAACTGCTGGAAGATGTGGGAAGCCTGATTTTGATGTTTTCCCTCCTCTGCTCAAAAACCTCCCACGTCTCCCATTACTTAGGAGATTAAATCAAAATAGCCCAGTATTCAAGTCCTTCAACGGTCTGGTTCTGACTGTTTTTCCTTTTCATTTCTCTTTCGTGTGACCCGCCGTCCAAACGACTCAGTTCCTCACTCTTCTGGGTGCACATTTGCTGAGGGCTCTTGCCACTCTCCCTTGGGTGCTCTCCTGCACCCCCACCCTGGGTACCCAAATCAAATTTCAATCCAGCCTCAAGTCCCAGTTTCAATGCCCACAAACCACTCTGGAACCCTCCCAGCTAGAAGCCATCCTCTCTCAGTTTTCTCTGCTACATCATCCTGTTGTGATGTACATTTCATTTCTTCCGACTGGACTGTAAGCTGAGGGAAAGGAACATGCTGGATTTTTCTCTTCATTGCCACCACGGTACCTTGTTCTTAAACATTTGTTGGATTAGTAAAGTCCATGAATAGTGCATCTTTTCAAAGTGTGTGTTTTTAAAAGTCTACCAGTGATGCTAGCTTAGTTTAGATTTAGTTTAACTAGGAAGAAAAAAAATAATGATTATGGAAAGACTGCTCTTAAAAATAATTCTCAATTTTTAAATCATTTTATTTATATCACAGATGGAGTACTGCCTGAAAATCTTCCTTCCAATTTCTAGTCCAACATACTGGTTTTGGAGAAGATTAAGATGACTGACATGAGGCAGCTAGAGTGAGTTTCTCATACAGAATGAACCCAGATAGAGTTTCCTCAGTATACAGAAAGAAACAGGTCCAGCAGCACACCCCACAAGTCCCCAAAGGAGTGATGATAGCCACTTAGAGCAAAGAAGAAGAAAAAAATCCACTGACCTGGGTTGGAACTGGCCAGATTCTTGCTGTACCACCACAGTCCAGCACAGCCTCGATACGCGGTGGGAAGGGTGAATGAGGGTAATTCAGGAGTTCTGTACTCCTGCTGTGAACTTGCAGGGATCCCTGGGCCTCATGGTACCCCAGTCCTTTATGGGAAATCTCCCTTCCCCACAGCCACCCTCCACAGTGAAGTGGTGCAGAAAAAAGGCCTTGAGAATTACCAACAGCCATTTCCTAGGAAGTCAACCCTGGCAGGATGGAGCAGCTGCTTTCAAGCCAGCTTGGGAGAGACCAGGCCCCATGGGCAAACTCTGCAGCTGCAGACAGTTCCTGGTAGTATGGGTTGCCTGAGACCATCTAAGGCCCCCCGAGGCCAACTGCACCTTGAAATTCAGATTGCAGATTGCCTGAGGCCAAGGCAAGAGCCAGGAGAATGTGTTGCCATAGAAACCCCTCACTTCCCTTGTGAACTCTTCTGGGCCAGCTCTGCCCAACAGCATTACCCCAGTGGCCTGGGACTTCCACCTAATCCCCACTGCAGTAGCCAAGAGTGCACACTTGTGGGGTGTTTCAGCTCCTTTCTTCTGCACTATCCCCTGAAGGCTCAAAACAGACGTTGTCTCCCCAGAGCCCTGCCCTGGGCCTAGGCTGACTGAGCATTCCCTTGGAGCAATCAATACTCACCAAGGAGAAACCGTACAGCCACCATCACAACTGGCTTTCTTCTACAAGCGCTACCTCCTGGATGGAGGTCAACAGTACAACTGGACACATCGGATCCAATACCTCAGCTTCGGGGAAGGCATGATCCCAAGCACCAGCTAACAACACTTTCCAAGCCACTCCAGCCATGCAGGATGCCTTGAGCCAGTGCAAGTACACAACTCAAGGCTGTCATAGCTGGCAAGTGAGAAACTCATCACACCAAGGCTGTATATAACCAAGGGAACCCTATGTCAGCCCCCTGCCAGCCTCAAATAAGAAGAAACTGTCTACCCAGCTGAGAAGGAACCAGAAAAATAAATCTGACAATATGAAAAAACAGACTTCTCCAACATCCCCAAAAGACCACTCCAACTCTTCAGCAATGAACTCTAGGCAAAATAAAATTTTTGCAATTCCAGACATAAAATTCAAAAGGTTGATTATAAAATTGGTTGATGAACTTCAGGAGAAAGTTGAAAACCAACATAAACAAAAATTTAAAACTCTTCAGGTCATGGATGAAAAATTATCCAAAGAACTAGACACCTTAAAATACCAGTTTTAAACTTGCTTCAGCCAATCCTAGAATGATAGTACTTTAGAAAAAAAGATCTTGAGAAGTCAACTCATCTCATTGGTTTCCCTCTCAACCTATATATGAACTCTTTCAGGAAAACCAAACAGAATTCCTGGTGATTCATCCTGATGTCTCTTGGCCCTCCCTATCATAGTCTTACTCCATAATAAGCCAAACTGAGTAACTTGTGCTATTGCTTTGCCTCTTGAGAGGCATAGTGATCAAGACCCAAGCCTAGTGGTCAAGACCCAAGTCTTCTGAAATCAGCCTTCCTGTCTGTCTCTGGGTAAGTTATTTAACCTTTCTCTATTCTAGTTTCTTTATCTGTAAAATGGAAATAATGAGTGTTTATTTCATAGGATTTTCACAAAGATTTGATGAAATCACATATGTGAAGTATTTAAAACAGTATCTGGAACCTAATAAATGACATAAAAATATTACTGCTGCAATTTATTCTTATTTTATTTTGAAAGGGATGAATAATCGTTAGTCTTTCATACCTGAAGGTTTTTAATAAATAAATATTTTTCTAGACTGTATAGTCCCAGTTCCTTTGTGCTCCTTTTAAAAATTAGACTAATTTTCTAATCTTTTCAAAGAGTCTTCCTTGGGCCCTTTATCTTAGTACAGCAGAGCACAGTAGAGTATTTCTTAGTGCATAGAGTATTTCTAGTTTTTTGCTATTATAACAGGGATTTTTGAACCAAGTCTCTAAAAGTCCCATTTACTTAACATATACCTTTTTAGAACAATTCTCTATGCTGGGATACAGTGAGCACATAACATTGCACAAGACAGGCAAGAGCCCTGCCTTCCTGGGTGTGCCAACTTTACTTGCACATATTATTTTACCATTAACCAAGTCACTTACCACTCTTTCGAATTCTTTCTTCCAACAGGTCAACATGTCCAGCTGGAAGCTTCTTGTTGAAAATCTCAGCTGAACGGAGAAACATAGCTTCAACTGCAGACCCTTTCAGCAAAGCAATCTGATCCTCATGGTCCAAAGTCTGAAATCCTGGGTAGAGATGATAAGCAAACTAGTATCAAGGAGTTGCATTTGTATAATAATACTGTACCTTGTATATGCATAATGATATTTCATCATTACCACTATCTCCATTGATAAAACATTCCCATAAATTGATTTTGTAATCATTTTACAGTTGAGCATTCTAGCTGAGTAAATAAGCATCTATTTTACCCCCAAATAGAAGCTGATTTTTGTCTTTGTTGAGTAGGATTTATTGAACAAGTTGGGCAAAAGATGTCACATCCACACCAGTTGCATATATTATGGCAGAAGCAGACTGATTCAGATGAAGCCATCTTCAGAAACTAGAGGTAGGCAGTTCTCTTTGAGTCACTGTTTTAGTCACACCTGGTATAACAGACTCAACTTCACAGAATGGAAACATTCATAAGTTAGAACAAAACTTCATATACATCAGGAATATTTGGCTGATTTGTGAGTCTTTAGTCAATCTAGAGAATGGGTAGCATTTTCCAAAAGAGTTGGTCAAGGTAGGTCATATTGAGGTGTCTGCCAATATGCCCAGGACTGCACCATGACAGGTGGAGAAAATCAGAGAAATGTGGGAGGAATTGCCAGCCTGAAGGAATATAGCACTGCCTGGAAAACCCAAAGTCCTGTTCAGGCTCATATGGAACAGTCCCTAGTAGTCTCTCAGACTCATCTCCTCCTCTCCCTCACTTTGTTCTAGCCACACTGAGCCTCTGGCTCTGCTGTGACCACACAGCCTGCTTTTGCCTCAGGGCTGAGTGCACTTCCCAGAGACCCTCACATGCCATGCCCCACTCACTCACTGCAACCAGGTCTCAGTCCCAGGGCTCCTCAACCTAGAATAGTATTCTTCAGCACCCATGAGTCCTACCTACTTTATTTCTGCTCCTAGACATAATAGGTACCCAGGAATTACTTCTTGCATAGTCAAATGACTGACTGAATGAATGAATGAATTAGTGGAAAACACACACACACACACACACACACACACACACACACACACACACAATCATGAATAGAGATAAATAATAACATTAGGGTCTAAACGGCTCAGGAACGGATTAGCTAGCAATGGGAGTGTAGAGAAGAGAGCAATGCTGGGGATTAAGGGTCATCGTCCTGGAGATCATAAGTGCTTCTTTGAGGGCAGGCGTCATGCCTCACTTCCCTCTGGGTCTCCAGCACCCTGGACAGTGCCTGGCACAGGCTGTGCTCCAGAAACTACCAGATGGAATGATTCGATTTAGATTTTCCCAGATTATTCTTGCAGTTCTGGTATTATATCACTAATATTACTATTTGTAACAATGTCATCCCTATGACTATTGCTAAATAACATTTTTCTCTTTTCAAGGTTTTTTTGCCTTTATCCCCTCTGTGTTTTTAATTTTTTTCCTGCTGCTTTATTCATTGAACACACACTAATTGTTCTCTTTCTCTCAGGAACTAGGCTAGGCACTGGGAATGAAGTGATTTTAAGATACCAACATTGCTTCAGATAAGTTACTTTCTTGTTAATAAGATTTTTATTTGCCTTCAATTATTTGTTGATTCAAAACCAACTGACCATTTCAACAGAGACAACTTTTTCCATGAATAACCGAAAACATCAAACTTCTCCCTCTTCCAATTCTTCACACTCTCCCCCAGATTTTACTCTTGTTTAATCTCATCATTGATCCAGATTACCATCAGCTTAATTAGCATATAACAAATTAAGTTTCTTTTTCATTGTTAATAAATAAATGAAAGAATACTGATGTCTCAATGATAATTAAAATTTTCTTCCCACATTTTATGAGCTTATGCCCATCTATGACACAATTAATAAAATAATAGCATAATGCTGGCAAAATGAAGGCAACTTAACATGTCTAATTAAAATCCTATGTCAGAAGTTACTTTCTATTACTTAATATTACAGTGTTATGCTGCTATACAAGGTATTTATACTTTTCTAGACCATGGGATTCTTATTTACTATTAAAAAAAATAAAACAATAAAGCCATCTCTGTATAACACAATCTTCACATCATTTTCCCTCTCTTAAAAAATGTTGTCAAAATCTTTACTATCTATCGACAAAAATTAAATTCCTTAGTTAGGCCCTTCTCGGTTTGGTACCAACTTACGTTATTGTCTAATCAAAGAGCCACCATAGACATTATGGCAGCCACAGTGATTGTCTCTCCCATCTCTAACAATCCTATTTTTGTTCATGCCTCATTATCTTTTACAAGCAGATCTCTCAACTTGAAATGCCCCTATCCTCCAAGTCAACAGGAAAAATTCTTTTTCTTTTAGATCCAACTCAAATGTGATCCTCACTGAAGTCCCCCTCTCTTTCCCAGCACAGTTAGCAACTAATGCCTTTCTGTTCAAATAGTATTTAGTGTGTATGTGTATGTATGTATTTTTTAAAATCATAGCTTTTAACCACTCTCCTTGAAGGTAGTAACCAGGCACTTAATATAGAGTAGGTACCAACAACTGCTTATTAAATGAATAAATGACTGAATGACAACTTTACAAACTGTTAAATTGTTACCTGTTCATCTGGAAGAATTATTATAAATTATTTTAAATATCCTTTCTCGCCCTAACATCTTATGTCTATAATAGTTAGTCACATTAAGTTCTATCAGATGTGGGATGATTTCCATTATACAATGACCAGAACGGTCTCTAAATATTACAGGAATATTGCAGAGTATAGCAGAGAAATAACCACATGAAAAATATACTTGGCAATACTAGGTCTACTGATAGTAGATCTAATCTCACAGGAATGCTTATGAACTGAACAAAACACTGTATGTAAAGTGGTTAATGTAATCTGTGGCACATATTTAAGCTATCAATAAATATTAACTTTTATTATTAAAAAGAAAAGTACCTGGCAGCTTTTTTGTGAATTCCACAAGAATCTGTACATGATTGGTAGCCATTTCTGTTAAAATCAGAAAGTTTTCTTCTGCACTGAATTCTTCTTTTAACTAAATTTTAAGAAAAAAGCAAATATGAATAATTAGATGAGAAAAGGATAAATTAATATAAAATCATTATACTATAGAAAAAACAGATTTAGATAATAAAATGTAAAACCCAACTCACATTCCTCAGTTCTTAGGAGAGTAATTACCATTACCAAGATAGATGTGAGGCTTCTTACTCTTCTATTGCTTAATACTGTAGGAGTATAACTTAAATTCTCAGCTCTAATCATTTTAAAGTAACATATTCAGATGTGAACTTCACATCCAAAGTAATAAAAGTTCCAGAGAATATTAATGCTAAATCCATGCCTTTTCAGATATTATACATACAATTTTATTTGTTATTTCCTGAGGCATCCTCTGTTTGCTGTATGAATCCATAATATAATGTAGAAGAGTCTGTTGCTCGGGGGTGAGTTCAGTTTTCTCCTACACTGGCAAGAAAATGAAAGGTGTTAGGGAGGGTGATTATAAGACTTTTTTTTCTATATATGCCTTCATCTGGAGTGAACTAACAGCAAAAATTATTGAAAAGAGCCCTAAATGCATCAGGAAATAGGAGCTCTAATATAGTGTTTAATTTCTTTTTCGGGGTCCTTGGACAGTCCATATCACATTTCACTAAGTGTATCCCAAGTTGCTCATTTCCCTATCTGTAAAATAGTGATAACAAAATATTCCTTTCATACATTTCTTAGGAATAAATAGTAGTCTGGATATGAAATATATTGAGCCCATTCACATTAAAAGACAGTGAAAGTTCAAGATTTAATCATCACTAAGGAAGATTCCCACACAGTATGGATACTACGAATACTATATTCATGTAGAATGGAGCAAAGATCGACAAATGGTGGTCCATGAACCAAGTTCATCTGGCTTTGTAAATAACATTTTATTGGCATACAGTCACACTCATTTGTTTATGTATTGAATACGCTGCCTTTGCACTAAAATGATAGAATTGAGTGGTTGTGATAGAGACCATGTGGCAAAAGTCTAAAATAGCTGGCTCTTTACAGAATAAAAGTTTGTCTCCTCCTAAAATAGAGTCAACAATCTGAACAATTCAGATCCCAAACATCTTTTTCCTCCTTAATAGCATCTTTTGAAGAGTATGAATAATTATGTCAACTTCTTTGCTTCCATATACCAAAGTGTTACCAATGAAGCACTAAAACAAAATAATACTTTTATATAGCGTACTTCTGTCTTAAATAAATACAAAATTATATATTTGAAAACAAAAACATGGATGAAGTTGTCTTTGTCAGCAATGAATAAATATTAAGAAGGGTGTGCTTTGGACAATTGTGGTTTATTGTTTTTCAGCTAATGGCAAATTAAAATTCCACCAAATGTCCACAATGTGTTTGTCCAGTCAACCTCGAGGCTGTTCCACTCTTTTGTCCTAAGTTATTCAAAGGATTTCTTGAGAAATTTGTGACCTCAGTAGGAAGGGCATTGCTCTGTTGGTCTTTAGATGTGTATTCACCCGATTTTACCCATTGATAAGGCCTGTATAGAACATATCCTTCCTGATTTAAGCTTCTCTTCTCAACGACAGGAACAAGTGATCATTAAAACTGAGTTGGGAAAAAAAACCCATCTTACACACCAAATCATTCTCACTGGCACACTAGGTGGTAGGACCAGATGGAGTGAAGGAAGAGGAAAATTTCACTTTTTATTTCATGCACTGCTAGTACTTGAATTTTTACACCAAAGCATGTGTTACTGTCTTGATTATAAAGAAAAGAAGGAATCCATTATAATGCATAATTGGATTGGATACTCTGCTGTGGTTGTGGCTTTCGTTTGAAAGCCTCCCAGCCAGTTCCCTGTGCACTTAGAAGCTTGGCTCTTGCTGGCTTTGGCAGACACCATTGCATGTTATTACCCTGCATGTCTTTGTTGTTGAGGTCACTTGTCGCAAATCACGACCTTCACTGTCTTCGTTAATGGTGTGATCAGCATGCTGCTTCACGTTTTTTCTCAGTCGTTTAGATTTACACTGAATTTCTGTTAACAAGCCTGAAAAATTAAGCATAGACTTCATCAATCACAAAAAGTACTGCTGGGTGTGTGCGTGGTCATGAAATAGCTGTTGGGTCTGCCACCCAGAAGGTCTCCTGCGCATTGGCACAGAACTAATTCTAGTCCTCTGACATTTTAAAAAGAGAAGGCAAGGTTTAAGATTGAACTTGAACAAGACATTAAACCTTTTTGAGTCTCAGTTTCCTCATTTATAAAATGGGAATACTATCCATACTACTAAATATACTATAGAGTTTGGTGTAGATTAAACACAACCAGATCATTTTAAAATGGACTTTAAGAGTGTGTGATATGAGAGCATTGTACAAATGCAATGTATTCAGTCAATGAAAAGGTGAATGACATTCTCCCTGTCCCTGGTATAAGGGACCTTGAAAGCTGATGTTTTGACTGGGTGTAGTGGCTCAGCCTGTAATCCCAGCATTTTGGGGGGCCAAGGCAAGAGGAATGCCTGAGCTTGGGGGTTCGAGACTAGACTGGGCAACTTTATGAGACTTCGTCTCTACAATAAATCACAAAAACTAGCCGGTCATGGTGGCGTGCGTCTGTGGTAGTGGGCCTCTGTAGTTCCAGCTACTTGGAAGGCTGAGGTGGAAGGATAACCTGAGCCCAGCAGGTTGAGGCTGTGGTGGCCGTGAGCATGCCACTGCACTCCAACCTGGGCAACAAAAGTGAGACTCCAACTCAAAAAAAAAAAAAAAAAAGAAAGCTGATGTTTCAAAAAATAGCATAATATTTTCATCCATAAGCTTGTTAAGTAAAACAAAAATTAACATCCTTTAGGAAAACATTTTAAACAAAACCATACCGATTATTGAGAATAAGTTAAGGATAAAAATAACTCAAGGTGACTTCAAAAATTTCTTTTGAATGACTGCACAATGTCACCATTGATTTACACTTAAACAGAGTCATAAAAATAATACAGAACAATCTTCTATATTGCCATTGAAGTTTTTTATTCTTCTTTCGATGTTAATAAAGCAAAGTTCCAGGAATTGTTTGTGCAGGGAATTGATTTTCTAGAGTCATGGAAGATCTGCATCTGTTGCTGGGCAGGCTTGTGTTCATAAAGACGGTTATAGACTTCGAAAGACGGACTCATGCAAAATGCCTTGGAGCCCCCACTGAAACAAGTTCATCTTTAAGTGATGAGCAACCTGAGTTGCCAGTAGCCACGTCAGTGTTTCCACTGTGAGATTGGATTCCAGCTGCAGCCCCTGCTGTAGGCTCTCGTTTCATGTGTGCTAGGAGAGATTGCAATCAGCCACTATAAAACTTTCATCCACAGAGCTGGGTTACTTACACAGACCTATTTTCCCGGCCTACACACATTATTTCCCTGGGTCCATCCCAGCTGCCCGAACGGTGTGGGAACAATGGAATTGGAGTCACCTTCCAAAGGGCTTTTATTTCATGTGGCATTCCCTCCCTGAATGTTATCATCCCCTTGGTGACATTTGTTTGTCTATTTGTGTTTTGAGGAGGAACAGGACATATCTCAGAATCTGAGTGGTCTGTAGAATTTGCAGAATGAAAAATTAATTATGTTATATACTAGCATGCATTCCAAATTTTGATGAAGATTACAGTTCCTCACAAAGCCAACAGTTAATACAGTGTCTCTTTATCAGATCGAAAGACAAAATTATATTAAAACTCAGAGTAGTTAATTTCCGGTGTAAACCTATATCAATTGGTTCAAAGCTGCACTAAGAGAGAAGATGGATTCTTAATAAAATGACTTGGTTTAAAACTCTATTTGGACAACTGGGAGGCAGTTATACCATGTAAAGCATTCTCATTTTCCCCTACAGCTGTGAATTTGTATTCTAATTAAGCAATAAATAAAACGTATATTAACATCAAATTTGGAAGAAACTTCTAGACTGTCAGTTTTTGTAACTCATTAAATCATGTTATTTGAACTGCATGTTAATGCCACTTCACTCCATGTGCAATTCATTGTGAGAAAATACAACAAAAAACAGGCGTTTCTTTCAGGCGAGTAAAGTGATGTTTAGCTGACAGTTTGGACAGTTTCAATGGTTCATGATCCCTTTCAGGAACTTAGGTGGGTTCGTAGATTCCTTCTTTAACATGTGGAGTATGATTCTTGTGATATGCATTACCTGACATCTGCCTTCTTAAGAGATTGCTAGTGGAATGTAATTGCTTGAGGTGAATACCTGTATACATACATTCAGCCAACATTCCCATCTCTTTGCATTTCCTTAGTCGGCACTCTTGACACTTTCTTCGCATGTACATGTCCATCACACAGTTGCCCCCATTTTTACACTTGTACACGGCGTTTTTGGTGATGCTTCTCCTGAAGAAACCTGCAGAAGAAACACTGGAAAGTATTAGACGGCCCCCTCCTTCTCAGAGGAATGCTTGTGTCTGGAGAGATGCCCGAGGTTTCCTCATGACTGCAGGAGAGCTCCCAGGCAGTCCCTGTGTAAACCAGATGACAAAGGACACTTTCAAAGACACTGTGTCATTCAAGAGGAAGGCTGTTGCTCTAAACGTATTTCTCAGAAATAAAGGCAAGCTTGAATTAGAGCCTCTCAGGAAAAATCTTAGTTTGCTTTTTAAGATCATTCACCTCCATGCATCTTTACTCGGGGCAATTCTTGGCTAGTGAACACTAGATAATGGTGGCACAAAGGTGAGTGATTCAGCCCTGTCCCCCTTGAGCCATCTGGCTGAGGTCACAGACATGCAAACAGTGAAACAAGCGAGCTTTCACCCTGCATGGGATCCGAAAGGAGGCTATGCTGGACAGAGGAGGCATAGGAACGGCCCAGTATCGGGTGAGAGGCCAGAGTCAGAAGCACCCACTGAGCCAAAGCATGCAAAGTGAGTTGCTGTGCACCAGGCATTCAGGGAGAAAGACATTGCCCAGATTTCCATTCAGAACTTTACATGCCAGCCTGGCGTCATGATCAAAATGTCATCCTTGACTAAATATCTAATCTCCCCCAGAAGGTATGGCTCACTATAGCCTGTTGGCAGGCGGGCTGCCTAGAGTCGGGGGTAGTGAACCTGGCTTCATCTCTGCCCCTTGTTCTCTCCACTCTCCTCCTTCTCCCCATCTGGCTAACCCTGGTTCCTGAGGCTTTCAGAGTCGAATGGGGGCATGGCTGAATAGGGAGGGGATTGTGGGAAACAAGAAAAGAAATGGCAGCAGTGCCCTTCCTTGCCTGGTCACATTATAAACCGCTTGTCTTAGCGAGTTTCCAAAGCTGATTCTGGCTTTCTTGGGTTGGCTTCCTTAGAGCCTCTTTCCCATCACAGGTTATCTTCCCTGATAAGCACAAAAACACCTTGATTCTAGCCCGTGGTTTGTATCTCCTCCTTCAGCGTCTGGGAATTTGGCAGTTCATGCCACCCTCTGGACACTAAGGTCGCTCTGCACCCCGCTTAGCATGGACCTAAATAACCCATGGTGGCTGTCTCTGGTTAAGCAATCTCTGTGTAGCAGAAAAATCTCTTCCACTTATCCATGAGTAGACAGCCGCCCTACCTCCTGCTTTCAACTTCTCAGGTAAAGACCAAACACCAGGTCTCAGGTGCCTCAGCTTCAGGGTGTACAAGTCACTCTCCTAAGTGGTCTTATTGAAGACCCTTTCATTGGGCCTAGGGCAGCAGGACCTCCTCAGTGAGCAGATTTTGGAGGCAGGAGGGGGGACACGTTTTCCTAATTTTCACAAACACACTGTATGCCCAGAGGTGCCTGAGAGGCAGACAGGCCCACCTCTAACACCCTCCTTTGAGACGGGGTTGTAAGGTTAACACAGTACACTAGCTGCATGCTCCAGAATCCTCATGAGACCTCAGCATAACTTCTAACTCCTGGTCTCTTCATAGCCTCAAAATAGGTGAGGCATTTAACTGGCTCTTAACTATCCATTATGAAACTTCTGCAAGATGGGCTCACTTTGGAATGTAGCATCTAGTGTCTTCAAGCCACTGTCATAATTGAGACAATAATAATAATACTTCCTATTTTAACAGACTGTTGGCATAACATCTAATATTAAGCACTCCCTAGCTATTGTTTTAACTGCTTTCTCTCTGAAAGGACAGACTAAGAGTGGGAAGTCATTTTTTATCTTGTTCTTAAACCCTGACATGATGAGGAAGAAGTAGAAGCTATGTTCTGAAGGAATCCATTTTTTATCTTGTTCTTAAACCTTAATACAATGATGAGAAAGTAGAAGCTATGCTTTGGGGAAATGCATACTCTTGGTAAAGATTAACTTTGCCGACTTTGTCTTTTCAGAAACACAGACTCCTTAAGCATGACCAGTACCGGCCTATTGGAACTTGTCTTTTTTAGAAACCCAGACTTCTCAAGCATGACCAGTACTGACCCATTGTATCCTTGGCGTATGGTGACCAGGACCCCCCTCAGGGTCTCCAAGACATGCACAGGTGGTCAACAAGGAAGTCACAGCAATCACGCCTACCTGATTGCAATACCACCAAGGGAGAGGATTTAAGCAGAGACTCAGGGGGCTATGGGGTCACACTCATCTAGAGTGTAGGTCCACTTCCTATCTGTGGGAAGTGAACCTTTCTTAAATAAATCTTTTCTACCTTCGCCTCTTTGTGTGTTGCAAATCTTTGCATTACTCGGATCTCTGGTTACCAGTTTGCACCTCTGGCCTGCTGGCTCCAGCAGTGCTGCACCCCTCCCTATCCATCCATCCACCTACCCTCACCCTCCGTACCCTAATACCCACCATTTAGTGATTTAGCCCTCATATCAATTTTGCAGCGAGGATAGCATGATAGGATACCATATTATAGGTGAAGAAAAAAGGGTACAGAGATGTGAGGTGGCTTGGCCATGACCACATGTTGACAAGTGAGCAAGGAAGGCTCAAACGTGGCCGTCACGCATTAAAGCCCAGACTGTTAACCACCATGTTGTCGGTGCCACCCTTGGGTCACAGAACAGTAGAACAATGTCGTGTTAAGTACCTATCATCTGAAAGCTGCATTGTCTGACCTGGGAGATATCGGGATGAGTAAGACATTCCCTGTCTTCAGGGCTTTTGAGTTAGAAGACAAAGAAGTAATCTCACAGCATAATACAAGATATGAGTGACAGGATAATAAATAAGTAGCGAGTTACTGGAACCAGAGAGGCAAAAGTGATTTTTCAGGGCCACACTATATGCGTATAAAGACTGTGCCATGCTGAAGGGGGAGGGGTAGCAATCGTGTCAGATATGGAAATCTGCAAATTTATTATGTGGGTTTTCCAGCAGAAGGTAGCAAAAAATTGTTCTACTAAGATAAGTAAGCCGAGCTCAGTGGCTTAGCCAGTAATCCCAGTGCTTTGGGAGGCTAAAGTGAGTGGATTGCCTGAGCCCAACAAGACTCAGTTCAAGACTCGCCTGGGCAACTTGGCGAGACCTAATCTCTACAATAAATCAAAAGTTAGCTGGGCGTGGTAGCACACGCCTGTAGTTCCAGTTACTTGGAAGGCTGAGGTGAAAGGATCGCTGGAGTCCAGCAGTTCGAGGCTGCGGCGGCCGGGATCGGCCACTGCACTCCAGTCTGGGTGACAGAGTGAGACTCCAATGCAAAAAAAAAAGATAAGTAAACATAACTATTTCCCAGCAGCTAGAAGTTGACTGTCCTGAGAAAAAGGCATTGTATGGACTGGGAGCCATCCTGGTTCATTCCAAGTAGTGAGACTCAGGGAAGGCTCCATAAAGGAAGAAGAACTTGACCCAGAACCTGGAGAATAAGCAGGGTTTCTGAAACCTGGACCATGAGGGAGTAAAGATATTCTGGGAAAAGACAAAGGCAGAGTGTCATGGAAGTTCCAGAGGAGAGTGGGCAATCCATCTTGACGGAGAGGTAGAGTGTGGGGGTGAGTAGCGTTAGGGTCCGGACAGGGTGAGGGTGGGTGGATGGAGAGGGAAAGGCGCAGGGAGGTGCAGCACCGCCGGAGCCCACAACCTGGAGGTGCCACACTGGCAACCCAGAGATCCGAGTAAATGCAAAGAATTGCAACACACAAAGAGGTGAGAGAAGATAAGATTTATTTAAGAAAAGGTCGCCCCCGCCCCCCCGCAGACAGGGAGCGGGCCTACACTCTAGGTGAGTGTGGCATTGTAGCCCCCCAAAGCCCTGGCTTAAATCCTTTTAGATGTTGCAAACAGGTAGATGTGACCGCCATGACTTTCTTATCAACCACGTGTGGATGTCTTAGAGAACCTGTGACACAGAGACCCACTAATGGCCACCCACATTATCTTAGCCCCTAGGGAAGGGTGTGACAAGGATTCTAATTCTCCTGCACCTTCCTGAATGGTATTCCTTAGAACCAATGGAGGATGCACCTCCCCTTATCTCCTAGGCATTCCCAGTGGGGAGCTTCCAGGGATCCTTGGCTTCCCTGTAGGTAGCGCCCAGTTTACTGGAAGATCGAATCCCCACCTGCTCTCCCTCTGAGAGGTGATAACTTTTGTAATTACAAGTTTCATGACTTTTACCATCCTTGCCCAATGCATGATGTCTTAGGCCTTGTAAATTCCCTTTACTCTAGGCAAGCTTGACTGCTGCTGTGAGATACCTGGCACCAGGAAGTCTGTTCCTGAAAAGACAAAGTTGGCAAAGTTAATTTTACTTAAAGTGTGTCTTTCTCTAAAAGCGTAGCTTCTGCTTTCTCATTTTTGTGTCAGGGTTTAAGAACAAGATGAAAAATGGCTTTCTGCTCTCGGTCCTTTCAAGTAGGAGATGAGCAGGGGGTGCCAGCAGGAACGGGATGGGACTAAGTACCCTTGAATACCAAGCAAAGGAGGGCACTCTTTAGCATGAAGAGAGAAGCTGTGACATGGTTTGGCAGGGGAAGTATGAGCTCATCTGAATGCTGGTTATCCCTTGCGGCAAGATGAAAAATGGTGGGACAGGAAGACTAGAGACAGCAGACAGTGGTTGAGGTGGTCAGTGCCTGAGCTAGACCTGGAGACAAGAGAGGAGGAAGTGGAGAGAATATCAGGTCTTGGCCATCAACTAAGCATGAAAATTGAGGCTGAAGGAAGAGTTGGAGACGTCAAGGTCAGCAAAGTCACGGGCTTGCTTGTGAACCTGTCAGCTGGCGTAATTTTCAGTAGGAAAGATCTTAACATTTTCCTAAATGTCAAATCCAACCAAATAAAGTCTAAAAAAAGACTATGCTTCGGATCACGGTTGATATTGAGAGTGCAAATATCAAAGTGTGCATTTTAAAAGAGACCGAAAAGCAGAAAGAGAAGTTTGTTCCTGGCCCCCCTCATGGCCACAGTGACCTTGTTGGCCTGCAGGAATCCTCCCAGGT